TTATGCCATGTCACATGCTGTCACCACGGCAGCGGATCTCGGCATCGTTCGGCTCGAACTGGAGACGGACTCCCAACTCCTAGCTGAGGCCTTGGACTTGCAAAGAGTGGATTCCTCTGCCTACGCATCTGTCATTGAGGACACGAAGTACCAGCTCAAGCTTTGGTTTACCAAGGTTGTAATCACCGTGTGTAGACGCACGGCGAATTCTGTAGCTCACGATCTTGCCACAATTGGCCGTAGTTGTGATCCCAACCAGTACATGGAATGGGACTCGAATGTACCTGCCCATGTGGGCGCCTCTGTAATAGGCGACATGCCTAAGCTCAGTTAAGTAAGAAAGCTTTGCTTTGCTCTCAAAAAAAAAGGTGGGATTCGAACCCGCGGCGCAGGGGTTCAGAGCAACACGCGGCAATAACCCCAGCCAATTCACCCTCTGGTGATCACATAGATCTTCTTCCCTATTTTGTTCTTTCCTTTCCTTTTTTCTTCTCTCTTTTCTTTTCCTTTTTCTTTTCGTTTTCCTTTTTCCTTTTCCCTTTTTCCTTTTTCTTTTTTTATTTTTCTTTTTCATTTTTATAATTTGATGAAAAGGTTCACCGGATTTAATGAATGTTTTTTCAAAATTGATGTTTTTTCCAAAATCGATGATTCTTTTCAATTTGAATGGACTTTTATCAAATTGATGATTTTTTTTAAATTTGGTGAACATTTTCAAAATCAATGATTTTTTTTCAAATATGGTGAACTTATTTTCAAATTAGTGAACTTTTTTTGAAGTTGATAAACATTTTTTAAAATCAGTGGATTTTTTCAAATTTGATGTACTTTTTTGAAATTCCATGAACTGGTTTTTAAAGATTCATGAGCTTTTTTGTGATTTTTTAAATCTGTGAACATTTTTAACAGTAATGGGTTTTTTTAAAGTCAAATGTTAACGCGTCATCTGGTCAACTAGAACCGGTCAACCATTGAACGAAGCTATCAGTTTGCTTAGGCGTCACAAACATCAACCGGCGCTAAAGGTGCCAGTTAGAGCATCTCCAGCCGTTGGCCCCTCAGGGAGCGCCTAAAATTACCGCCTGGGGTGAGCCGGCGTAAAAAATGGGCCTGGGGGCGAGTTGGTCCCCAGCCGCCGGCTCCAGGGCCGCCCCCAGGCGCGATTAAATAAAAAAAAGTATAGCAAATTTCGGCACAGTTCGGCGAAGTTCGGCTAAACACGACAAAATTCGGCCAACTTGGGCATATATTTGGACAAAGTTTACCGATTTTCATTACATAGCAAATATATACACTAATCTAAAAGAAACTTGCTGAACACCGAGTAGTCGCCGTCGTCGTCGCCATCCTCGTCGTCGACCTTCTCCTCTTTGACGCGGGCGCCCCTGCTGGACCCGGCGTCACCATGGCGGACTGGTGACGGCGGTGGCGCGTCGTCGTCGTCGCTGTCGTTGAAGACGACTCCTCCTCCTTCGTCGCGGCCCCGACGGCGCACTGGCGCTCCATCGCCATCTTGAGGGAGTCCTGGCGCCCATTCAAGGGCCGCGTCGTCGTCGCGCTCGACCTCGCTGTTCTCCGTCTTCACGGCGGCTAGGCCTGGCTCTGCCTTCACCGGCGCGAGAATTTATTGGTTGATTGTATCCTTAACCATTTCTTTTTTTGACACGAGGTTGCAATTATTCATCTACCGCTGAAATTTGGATTTATTTTATCGATGCAAATTGGCCTTTTCCTTCTTTCCCTTAAAAAAATAACTCAAGAAAAATTCAATTTAAGCCCCGGCTCCGTCTTTGGCTTGACAAAGCGCGGAGGAGGAGCCGACGAGGAGGCGCGTCGGCCGCCCTCGTTGATGATGATGCCGACCCTGCGAGTGCGCCGGCCGAGCGCCGACTCTGCCGTGGGTTCGGCCTTGACGCCGAGCAGCGCCGGAGTGCAGGAGGAGTGCGAGGAAGAGCGCGAGGAGGAGGAAGAAGAGGAGGAGCCGAACCTCCTTGGCTCCCATGGCCGGTCGCGTCGGTGGTGCGCCTGGGCGGCCGCCCTCGCCGGGGGTACGCCAACGGCGGGTCGTTGCCGCCCTCGAGGTGCGTCAGCACACCCTCGAGTGTGCGGCCGGGGATGCCCCACCGTAGGTGGCGCCCCTCGCTGTTCTTCAGGTCGCCGACCACCGCCGCGCCATTGGTGGACGCCAGCCGCTGCTGCTGACGGCGCTCGAAGTACGCCGCCCAAGCCGCATGGTTGTCGGCGGCATACTGGGGGAAGAAGAGTTGGGCGTCGGTGAGGGAGGCGCACACGACGTCGACCTCCTCGGCGAAGTACCTGGGTTTGGCCACGGCGTCGGGCAGCGGGGGAATGGGCACTCCCCCGTTACTGAGCTTCCAACCCATCGGCCCGGCGCGCATGTCCGGCGGCGCCGGGATGTTCGCCTGGAACAGGAGCCAACACTCCTGTTCGCGGAGCGAGCGGCAGCCGAAGCCGTTGGCCGCCGCCTCGTCTCCGGGGAAACGCTCGGCTATCGGGAGGGGAGGGAGAGCGAGGGCTCGACGGCGGCGCTCGGGAGAGGGGGGCTCGGCGGCGACTCTCGGGAGAGGCAGAGCTCGGCGGCTAGGGCGGCTGGGGCTAGGACTAGTGTGGCCAGAGGCGAGGGAAGCCACCGGCTTTATATAGCCGCGCCACGTCCATGTGTACGCGTGCGAGGGAGGGGAGGCGTCGGCGCCGTCCCGTGACGCGCCGCCCATGAGGAATCAATGATAAGGCTGCCCGGCGGCAGCCTTGCCATTGATTCCCTGCGGGAAACCGAGGCGTGGGGGGAAGACGACGCGTGGTGTTGCTGACGCGGTGGGCCCGCGGCTCTTTCGCGTCAAAACCGCTCGCCCCGGCGTCCCCGAGTGACCCCAGCGTGCCGGGTTCAGCCTGGGTCCGCCAACGCTAATTTTGACCCAGGCCGGCGAAAATTGAACTCCTGAGACGCGACTGGGCCGATTTTTCTGCGCCAGCGTGAAAAATTTGTCTGAAAAGGCCTTTCTAAGGATGCGACTGGATATGCTCTTAGGAGATTCCAAAACTGCATTGTTCTTTTGCATAGGACTTTGTTCAGGCTGGGCTAGGTTATGAGCATACGGGAGTCCGTAAGAGTCTATGACCCCAACTAAAAAAAAGAAAGTCTATGACTCACCTACTTCTTCCGTTTATAAATGTAACTTCTGGCCTTTTTCTGAATTAGATGTATATGGATACCTTCACAAAAAAAGTATATAGATACATTTTAGTTTGTTTCTTCTCTTATTTCAGTTCATTTGTAGTTCATATCATCAAGATATGCAAAACATCTTTTTTCTTTTAAGGGAAGATATCTAAAACATCTTAATAATTGAACGCTGATAAGTGCCACACGTGTGGGCGTTAGGGAGTCCGCCCACACATTTTGTGTGGTGTATAAGAGGAACAGCCCACACACCTACGTGTGGGCAAAACAATTAGCGCCTACACGTCTCTTTTTTTCCCTCCCGATCCCTCTCACACGCGTGCATGTGGGCGAAGTTGATAACGTCCACATGCCCGTATGTCAGGCCTCGTACCTCCTGGTCCCGCACGCCACGCGTGACGGTCATCGCGCGTCCGCAGTTGCCATGGTCCAGACCCTCGTTCATGTTCGTTTAATTGCAGTTGCCATGTCGCTGAACTACGGTTGCCATGTCGGACAACTACAGTTGCCATGGTTGCTCAACTGCAGTTGCCATGTATGGTCTGATCTAATGTAGTTGTCATGATTTTATAACTTTAGGAGTTGCCACATACTAACACTAGGCAGTTGAGAGAGTTGCCATGTGCTCACAAGCATGCTAGGGCAGTTGCCATGTAAAAAGGAAGAGTTGACATTTGCTTACGTGCACCTCAGGGCAGTTGTCATGTACATGCACGTTAGAGCAGTTGCCATGTATCATGCAAAAATATATGGCAACTCGGTAAAAGAGAGTTGCCATCTGTTTACGTGCACACTAGGCAGTTGCCGTGTACTCTGCAAAACACATGGCAAACTCGGGTAAGAAAAAGAGTTGCCACCTGCTTATAAAAACACACTAGGGGCAGTTGCCATGTGCAGTGCAAAAACACATGGCAACTAGCAGTTTGGGTGTGGGAGAGAAGAAGGGCGTGTGGGCAAGATGCCAAATGCCCACACACTAGCCCTTGTGTGTGCGTGCAAAGTGGCGTGTGGGCGAACTGCTGAACGCCCACACACCAGCCCCTTTTGTGTGGTGAAACGGCCGTATGGGCGACCGGCTGAACGTCCACACACCAGGCCAGTCCTACGTGACACTAGAAACATGTCAAGATTCGTGCGCTCACGTACGAATGCGGATCCACGCGTGTGGGCGAGATGCAAACGCCCACATGTGTGGGCGTTAACATTTCCATAATAATTTGTTAATGGAGGGGCCGAGGGAGTACTTCCGGAAAAATAAAACCGACCTCCGCTCTCCGCTCTTGAAAGAAAGAGACTCTCATTGGAAAGGGGCAAAACGAGAAGAGTTTACGATCCGATCGATCCAGCTGCCTCTACGTGCCACCGTCCCTCACCGATCGGAGACCAGGACTGGACCGACACGACACGTTGATCGACCCCACCTACCAGCCTCACAGTCCTCCCTCCCCGTCGAAATCCAGATCCTTCACACCAAAAAAAACATCCAGCTCCTTCTGACAGCCACGAACTCTTCCAATCACAAACGCAAACTGGTTTCCCGAAAAGCAAAAAAATCACAGCACAAAACCGCCTCCGCCGCCCTCTGACATCTGGGCCCTGCGCGTATCGGTCCCTCCCCGCCCAGCCACGTCTCCGCATAATAGCACATGGTCGACAGGACCCGGCCTGTCTCATCCTCCCCTCGCCCCCTCCCTGCTCCGCACGACGCGAAGCCGATCGGGGCCGTACTGCTCGCCTGCCCACCTCCGCCGGAGAGGAGCAGGAGGAGGAGCAATCGCCCGTACCGGGGCTGCACGCCATGGCGCGCAGCGGAGGGGGCTGCTGCCCCTCGATGGATCTGATGCGGTCGGAGGCGATGCAGCTCCTGCAGGTCATCATCCCCACCGAGTCCGCGCACCTCGCCGTCTCCCACCTCGGCGATCTGGGCCTCATCCAGTTCAAAGACGTGAGTCCCCCGTGTTCCCCCGCCGTCGATTTTAGCTCCCTAACTTGTTTCGGTGGAGGATCTGGCTGGTGCCCGCCCCGATGTGCCGATCTGAGCTGGTCCCTCCTCTCTAGGGTTCCGTGCTCGCGATTCCTTTGGAATTGGCAGGGGGTCACAGATGACATTGCGAATTTGGGAACTAAGACTTCTGTGCGGCGTAATTATTCGCTTTTTAGTACTGCTAGTACTACGTTATCACTATACGTATCCATCGGAATTGTGATCTGTTGGTTTGCATTGCCGTGACCCATGATTGGTAGTTAGCACTTAGCAGGGCTCGCTCTTTAATAGGGAATTATTTGCCTTGCTATTAATATGCAAGTGCACATGATTCTTAGATAATGGAACTCGCGGTGCATTTTCATGCTTGGGAACTGTTCTATGTGCTATGTACAGCTTTTGATTTTTGGCTGATTCCTTTGCTGTTAATCTAACGTTTATTTTTAATATCCTCAGCTCAACGCAGACAAGAGCCCGTTTCAACGCACCTATGCTGCCCAGGTACTTTTTGCTCGTTTATGTAAACACATTTTTCTTAAGTTACATTTTGATAGGTCTGGACTATCCTCTTGAAAGTTTATCATAGCAGTTTATCGGTTTGCGTTAATCATACCACGCTTGGTCGGTGTTCATATATATAATGTCCTCACAAGACTATAAATCCACATCTAATGTGGTTAATTTTACTGTCTCTGTTGCTCTGGCTGCTCCTTGTGCAGATCAAAAGGTGTGCTGAAATGGCCCGCAAGCTGCGATTTTTTAAGGAACAAATGTCAAAAGCTGGAATACTAGTTTCTCCTATGCAATCAGCCGAAACTCCTCTGGATTTTGATGACATGGAGGTATGCTAATCAGTGAAATGCTGCTTATCATGTGCAACTCGTAAATCTTAAAAGTTGATCTTTTTTAACACTTCCCGAGGAACAGGTAAAGCTTGGAGAACTGGAAGCTGAACTAACTGAAGTAAATGCAAACGATGAAAAATTACAACGGGCCCACAATGAGCTACTGGAGTACAATACTGTTCTTCAAAAGGTATAGCTACTTAGCCTTGTCATTATAGTAATTATTCTTGAACGCACGTGCATATATTGTGGCATGTACGCATGTTGTATCAGTCGTACGCATATTTGCTAGTAGCAAAGTGCCCGTGCGTCGCAATGGATCCAAAATAGACTGATACAAGTTCACAAACTTGAATAAAAATCACCCTAGTTTTGGTAATATGTACACTAAAATTATGTTATGTTTTACCCAAATTTATTTCTCTTATCTGTTTGGATGAAGTGGGCGACGGGGGACCTGGTCTGGAGAGACTTTAGGGGATTTCTGTAAATATGGAGCAGAGTGGTGGGGGCCTTTCTGCAAAAAAAGCCACAGCTTACCTTGTATGTTTTAGACACACATCAGATGGTCAGAAATGATGGATGACACACACCATCATCACCGAGTCTTCTATAGGAGTAGAGATGTCTATCGTTGCCTCAGCTTGAATTACTTCCAAGATTTATCTTATGGCGTTAGACGTGTCATAAATGTTTCAAGCTAATCACTCTTGATTGTGTGTTAAGATAGTAAGGTCCCAAGACCAGTATTTGAATGGTAGCACATGGGAGGCTTGAGAGATAAACTGTTAGCTAAACCATATGTGTGTGGGTGTTGGGGTGGGGTGAGGGTTGCCAATACTGTCACGCATCCTCTTAAATACGGACATGCAAAATTGTACCCAACTTCCCGTTGTCGCCATATATGGTACTATGGTAGTGCTTCTCCTAAATTTCCTTTTAACTTTCAGGCTGGTGAGTTTTTCTATTCAGCTCAAAGAAGCGCTGCAGCACAACACAGGCAAATGGAAGCAAATCAATCTGGTGAGACTTCCCTGGAGAGTCCTCTGTTGGAGCAGGTGAAAATATTGTTTCAGAAACAGCATCCTGCCTCGCCCTGTTCTATTTTCTCTTACTGATATTTTGTTGGTCGAATTTATAGGATATGTTAACAGACGCATCGAAACAAGTGAAACTTGGCTCTTTGAGTGGTCTTGTGCCAAAGGAAAAGGCCATGGCTTTTGAACGTATCTTATTCCGTACCACAAGGGGCAACATTTTGCTCAGACAAGAGTCTGTTGACGAACCTGTCACTGATCCGCAATCCGGAGAAAAGGTAGTTTTTTTGTTACTTGCAAAAGTCAGTATCCCTCTCCTTTGAGTGATACAACTTAACATGTTGACAGTATTTCCTATGGGTATTATGGATTTAGTGTCCAGTGCTTCTTTAGTTCTGAAGTTACACTCATTATTATATTCAAAACACACTTATCTGACACCTTTTACATGGCTATGCAGGTGTACAAAAATACATTTGTCGTATTCTACTCTGGGGAGAGGGCAAAGGCCAAAATTCTGAAGATATGTGATGCTTTTCGTGCAAACCGTTACCCTTTTCCTGAAGACCTTGCTAAACAAACACATACTGTTCAGGAGGTCAGCAGTTGGCAATATTTATTTTCTGACATTCTTCATTGATTTTTTTGTGTTCTTTTAGATATTTGTATTTTGGCTTAAATCAGTGAACCTTGCGATATAGCACTTCTAGTGAGGAAGTTAGTAGTTAAGAATGGTAGTGTGTAGGAGATACTGTGCTTTGCATGTGATATGAGCTTGCTTAACCTCCTATTCTTCTGCTACTGCATTGATGTCATTCCAATGCTAGATTAAAAAAATCTAATTAAATGACTATGCAGTATGTACGTTGTTTTGCTCCTTCTAATCTTATTTTGTTGTTGGTGACTACTGCAAAATGATTTCATGTTGTTGCATCGTTTTTTGAACATAATGTGGATGTCGTGAGGAGATCTTTGCCTTGTTATTCTTATGTGTCACACTGCTACTAATTTGAGCCTATAAAGATATAACATGTACTGAAATACTTGCAATCACACAGGTATCTGGAAAGATATCAGAGTTAAAGGCAACAATTGACATGGGATTAGCTCATCGTGACAGTATACTCAAAACTATTGCATCAGAGTTTGAGCATTGGAACCATCTGGTGAGTTTGTATTGCTTATCTCGGCATCTGATAAGCTCTACTCAAGAGTTCGAGTTCTGTGTACTTTGGTTGTTACTGTAGATGGTGTGCGGTGGAGTTCTGATTTTTACGGTTCGATCATTATTTGCTAATTGGCACTGAATCTTTCAGGCCAAAAAGGAAAAATCAATTTACCACACTCTAAACATGTTGAGCGTTGATGTGACGAAGAAATGCTTAGTTGGTGAGGGCTGGAGTCCAGTTTTCGCAGCTAATCAGGTAATAAAATTTGTTTCCTTAACCCCTGATGCCTTCTTATGTATTTGTCCACCCTAATTCTTTGGTTTCTGTTTGTGGTCTGCATGATTTATGATTTATAGTGTATATTTTCAGATTCAGGATGCACTTCAGCGTGCTACTCTCGAGAGCAAATCCCAAGTTGGCTCGATTTTTCAGGTCCTTAACACAAAAGAGTCTCCTCCAACATATTTCCAAACAAACAAATTTACCTCAGCCTTCCAGGAAATTGTTGACGCATATGGGTATGTTCTCAGAATTCAATCTTTTTTATTATTCTATACTTGATTTGCTATTTTATTAGTCTCTTATTTATTCTTATGCATTTGAGAAAACGCCTATTCCCTCTTCTTTTATTGTTGTATATGTGAAAACATGCCTCAAGCTAGTTGTCTCTCTAGCCATAAACACTTCCCGTCTTCATATTTTTTTCATGTGTCCGTGTCTGCCACTTTAAAATCACAATGCATATTCATCAAAAGAATGTTAGCTACTTGTTTTCAAATGTGTATTACCTTGTAATGGAAATTTCTGCAGCTTATCGGTTTGTGGAATCTCAGTAACACATTTCCATTGAGTTAAACATTGCTTGTTTGAGAAATGACTAAGGGGTGTTTGTGTTACTTGGGGTTCGAGTCAAGTGTATGAATATGTAAATGCTAACTTTGTATTTCTTCTGATACAGAGTAGCTAAGTATCAAGAAGCGAATCCTGGTGTATACACTATTATCACTTTTCCTTTCTTATTTGCTGTCATGTTTGGAGATTGGGGTCATGGAATTTGCATATTACTTGCGACACTCTATCTGATAATCCGAGAGAAGAAATTCGCTTCACAGGTTTGCTCCTCGTCTTCTACATTTTGCTAAACCTATACGTGTCTGTATTACACTATTGCTGCAAGCCAACAGCCCCTCTTTTGGAACATATGGTACTGATTCCAAAGAGTCTAGCATATTTATATTCTGAAAGTTCCTGAAGTAAGCTGTGTCTTATACTCTTATGTCTGAATTGAAATACAGAAACTTGGAGACATAATGGAGATGATGTTTGGAGGCCGCTACATAATTATGATGATGTCAATTTTCTCAATCTACACAGGATTAATATACAATGAGTTTTTCTCCGTTCCATTTGAACTTTTTGCTAAATCAGCCTATGCATGCCGCGATTCTTCTTGTAGGTAAGATGAAAGAAACCTAATTTTATCTTTGTATAAAGCCAGATTTTATGCATTACTTTCTGCTAATCCTTTTTTTTGTAATTAGTGATTCTACTACTGAAGGGTTAATCAAGGTAAGGGATACTTACCCGTTCGGCGTGGACCCTGTGTGGCATGGTAGTCGAAGTGAGCTGCCATTTCTCAACTCACTGAAGATGAAAATGTCAATTCTTCTTGGAGTGTCACAAATGAACCTTGGAATTTTTATGAGTTACTTTAATGCGAAATTCTTCAGGAACAGGGTTAATATCTGGTAAGTGTACCCCTTCGTCTGAAAATCCTAATTTGAAAAGGCAGCCCATCCTTTTGTAGCTTGTGTTGCAGTCCCTAAATAATTGTATTGCTGTTCACATTTGTAACAGGTACCAGTTTGTTCCCCAGCTGATCTTCTTGAACAGCTTGTTTGGCTACCTATCCATGCTTATCATCATTAAGTGGTGCACAGGGTCAAAAGCAGATCTGTACCATGTTATGATATATATGTTCCTTAGCCCCACAGATGACATGGGAGAGAACCAGTTATTTCCTGGCCAGAAAACTTTACAGGTCTATATTTGTCATTGTTGTGTTCTCACTATCAAGTTTTGAAAGATCGTTCTTACTATAAAGTGGATTATTCCTAACACACACTCTTTCTTATACAGCAAGTTTTGCTTCTACTTGCTCTGGTATCTGTTCCCTGGATGCTGATTCCGAAGCCATTTTTCTTGAAATGGGAACATGAGCGAGTATGTCTAATATAGTAACCTGTAATTTCTGTTGCTGTTTCTACAGTTCATATTTACTTCTGTGCTGATATTATATGTTTGGTATTCATCAGAGGCATCAAGGACATCAGTACGCCATGCTTGAGGGTGCAGATGAATCAGTTGTAGCAGAGTTAGGGGAGCATAATGAAGAATCGAACCACCATGAGGAGTTTGAGTTCAGTGAAATATTTGTTCACCAGCTGATCCATACAATTGAGTTTGTTCTTGGTGCAGTCTCAAATACTGCTTCATATCTTCGTCTCTGGGCTCTCAGGTACTGCCGGACAATAAGAACCATTCGAACCATTTCATCATCTCAGTTTTGCACAGGACAATCTTTAATCACACTTCCATTAGCTACTAACGAGCAACTAATATTTCTCCTTGCAGTCTTGCACACTCGGAGTTGTCCACTGTGTTCTATGATAAAGTTCTCCTTCTGACGTTGGGGTTAGTAATCTCTCTCTCTCATCTTCATCATCATCATCATCATCTTACTTTTCATTGGCTTCGGAATAATAGAGTAAATCGGAATAGCAGCCAAAAACTTGGGAAAATCCAAGTTAATGATCAATAGAATCATCTTCATCATGCTTTGTGCATTTTTGTAGGTACAACAATATTTTTATCCTTGCTATCGGTGTCGTTGTCTTCATCTGCGCCACTGTCGGTGTGTTGCTTGTTATGGAGACCCTAAGCGCGTTCCTTCACGCCTTGAGGCTCCATTGGGTGGAGTTCCAGAACAAGTTCTATGAGGGTGATGGTTACAAGTTCGCACCATTCTCGTTTGCTCTAATCAGTGAGGATGAAGAGTGAGCTCGTCCAAATTCTTGTATCTATTGTAGTCTCTGTAATATCTTGTGGGTGGCCTTGTTGCCAGAACAATCATTGTTTGTCACGGATCAATCATAAAACTCCAGCCCCTTGTTCGAGCAAGGGAGGTGCAACATCATTTTTCTTTAGATGTGGATTACACGAAGGGTAGGAATTTTTTTGTGGAGGTTTGGCAACAAAACTCTAGTGGCATCACCCTTATTTTGGTGTAATGCTAATAACGAGTTGTGCACTCGTGGTTGCCTTTGGGTGATGTGCAGTCTGGACATAAATAAGCATGTAATAAAAGGTTATTTCCATTGTGGTTATTCTCGGGCTCACTTTACCGTTTTATAAATTATGATCGTTTTTTTTACCTCGAGACCATTCAAAAATCATTGCATTTCGGAATAGATTACAAGAGTTGGTTTCAAATGTTGCCAGAGACAAAAAGAAAAGAAAAGAAAAGCTGGCTACTCTACCATCTGGTGTCAGCGACTCTCATTGTGCTTGAGCATGCTATGCTTGTCGTCAACTATTACCTGAGTTTTATGGGCTAGTCAAAACAAGTGTCAGCAATGAGGGGAAAACCTAATTTGTATACGGGTCATATTTGGCCTCGCAATAACAGGGTCTACTACTCGATGTCAATTAGGCGTCAGGATCACTAAAGAAATGCTCTCTTCATTTTTTATACAAGACCACTATAAAAAATATATTTTGCAGCTATACAAGATCACTATAAAAAATAGGATCTGTTCATGTCACATCTAGATGTGAGATTAGCAATGTGCCTGTGCGTTGCAACGGATTCAAAGTAGAATACATGTTCACAAACTTGAAAAAAAACACCTAGTTTTGATATACATATATCACTAAAAATATATTATGTTTCATTCAAAATATATTCCTCGGGCTGTTTTGATGAGGTGAGAGAGGGATGTGGTTGGTTTCAAGATACTAAGGGGTTTTCTGCAAATTGAAACAGAGGAGTGAGCTATTCTTGTAAAAAGGTTACAACTTATCTCACAGTTGTTAGATGCAGATCTAGTGGTCAGAAATGACGGATGGCAGACATGCCATCATCACCAACCGAGTCTTTTATATCTAGATGTGAAATATTATCTCACATCTAATATGATGTCACATTTTGTTTGTGGCTCTTTCATTGACAACTTTCTACAGCTGGTTCGTTTAATTTTTGTTTGATGCTTGTCCAGCCGAGTTTCTCCGTTGGTGCTAAACAAGCTGAGTGCGTCTCGACTGGCCGGTATACACAGCTAGGCACCGAAGCTTCTTGGTTTGTAGCACACAGGAAAAAATATCTTAAGTGTGTTGTTTCGTCTCAGAAAAAAACAAGAAAAAGTTGCAAGACAAAGCCACACTTAAGAAGGAATCGAACTACCATGCTCCAACTACTTAACGCGTGTCTTCTAGCCACTACTCCCTCCGTCTCAGTTCACAAGGCAAAGTTTTCAAATATCTTGGCCCAAGGTGAATTTCTATTGGCTCTGATTTTCCACGTAAAAATGTTAACCATCGGCGCTGCAATTAATTTGGAAAGTGAAAAAAACTTTATTTTCTAGTCTTTAATTGATTTGGCGCGATATTTTCCTCTGCCCCGCGCGCTGTTTCCGCCTCGCGCGCTCCTTCCTCCTTCGGCACGATATTTTCCCCTTAAATTTTGCTATCGCGCCCAGATTTCTTTCCTAAACCAGAGATTTGATTCCGCGCGCAAGGATTTCGTTCCAAACTCAAACGAAAGCAGCGCCCAGATTTCTTTATATAGCCATGGACTTACGTAGACGAACATCCCAGTCTAGCGCCAGTTTCACACTGCATTGTGGAAGAGAAAGATGAGAGGAAGTACTCCAACACGCATTAGAATTGTGGTGCATGCAGCGTGGGAAGAGGAGTAAGAGCATCTCCAGCCGCGCCCCCAACAGGCCCTCCCCAGGCGTTTTTGCCGCGCCGGCGCCAAAAAAATGGCCCAGTTGCGCCCCCAGAAGCCCGTTTTTCGCCGGCTCAGGCCAAAACTAGTGCCGGCGGACCCAGGCCGAACCCGGCGCCCTGGGGGGGCGCTTGGGGAGCCGGCACAAGCGAAAAAGGCGCGTGGGTCCGCTCTGGCGGCGACCCGAGGGCCTTTTCCCGCCGTTTCTTGATGCTTTTCCCTCGCATCCCTCCCGCTCGCTCGCCTTCCTCCCGCCGTTTCCTCCCTTTTTCTCGCCAAACCCCCTCCCGCTCGCCTTCCAGTCGCCGCCATGCCGCCAAAGAAGTACGCCATGCCGCGCGCGGCGGCAACCACGACTGGCACCATGGCCCAGCCGAAGCAGAGGAAGCCGAGGGCGCCGCCATTGAAGCCACCGGGCATGTCGAACGCCGAGTGGAGGGTGTAAGTTCAGCGACGCGACGCAGTCACCGCCGACCGGCGGAACAGGGCCATCGCCAAGAAGGCCCGCGACAACGCGGCGCACGCGGCGGCGTCCTCCTCATCGGCCGACCACGCGGGGATGATGAATCCACCCGTCGCCAGCCACGCCCAGTACGCGCCCTGGGGACAGCAAGGCGTCGGATCTCCATGGGGATCGTAGTCGCCCGGCTACGACGACGGCGACGCGCACGGTGGGTTCAACCCAAACGTGACCTTCCCCCATGGCCACCCCGCGACGCGCACACCCTCGCCCGCCTTCGTCGGCGTGCAGTACCCTCCATATAACTACTCGCCGCCCGCCTACGCGTCCACACCAACGCCCCATCTCCGCCGTGGACCGCTGCCCTTCTCGCACCTCGGCGACACCGACGACACAGGAGCCGACATGGACGACATCATCGCGACAGGATCGACCGCGGCCGCCGCGTCTCTCGGGTTCGCCACCCAGGACGAGGTAGTGGATCTCAGCGGCGACATGGAGACCGAGCTCGGCTATGTCTACGGCGAGGACGCGCACGAAGCGCAGGAACCCGGGGAGGAGGAGGAGGAGGACGAGGAGGAGGAGGAGGAGGAGGAGGAGCCGGTTCCTGATCCGACGAAGGGGCGCCAGAAGAAGAAGCGGGCGGCTAGGCCAGGCGAACCGCGCATCAAGTGGACGTCCAAGGAGGAGGAATGCCTCGCCGAAGCATGGAAAGTCGTCTTCCTCGACCCGACCACCGGCACGAACCAGAGCTTCCAGACGTACTGGGACCGCATCAAGGCCTAGTTCGACGAGCGGAAGCTCGTCGACCCCTACTTCAAAGGCGTCTACATGCAGCGCGGCTTCAAGGCGATGGCGAACCATTGGGGGCGTATCCAGGGGGCGTGCAACAAATGGCATGGAATCGTCGAGGAGGTCGCGGCTCGCCCGGAGAGCAGCGCCAGCGTTGAGGATCAGGTACGCACGCCGTTCGCCCTCATCTCTCGTCGTCTACGCCCGCTTCCCGCCAACTGTTTGTTCCTCCGCGCAGTTGCTGCGCATGTTCACCATGTATCGGCGCGACAACCTCGACGCCGACTTCAAGTACCTCCACGTCTACAAGCGCATTGACAAGTGCGAGAAGTGGGTGGAAATCTGACGTACCCTCGACAAGGCCAAAGAGACATACAAGCCGGACGCGACGACTCCGGGAGCGTCAGAGGGGCGGCCGGACGGCCACAAATTGGCAAAGAAGGGGAAAAACGCTGACGCGGCAACCGCGCGAGTGCAGGAGTCCATCGAGCATTGCCTCGCCGACGCCCAGGCCCGGGTCGTCCTACGTGAAGAGAAGACCGAGGCACGGTGGTCGTCGCTGATGACGAACAGCGCCATCAAGCTCGACCTGCTCCGGACCAACGTCGACCTACTCCGGATGAACGTCGCCGCGAAGAAGAGGAACACCGACATGGCTTTTCTGATGGGCGGGGCGGACATGCTCCAGAGCAACGACGAGCAGCTCAGGGCGTGGTACATGGCGGAGCGCGGCCTCATCCTGAACCAGATGCAGACGGCAACGCCGACGACGCCAGCTCCCGCGCCCACGGCCACACGGACGCCAAGCCCGAACGACGCCTCTACATCGTCGCCCAGTAGTACCGAAGCCGCGCCGACACAACCCAGCACCGAAGCAGCTCCGACACCGCCGAGGCCGCGCACGCCGACTCCGCCAACGCCTGGAGCCGACCCCGCCGAGTGATTCGTTGCGCACGCGAACTTGCGGCGTGCGGCGCTCTGTTTTTTGTAACGCCAGACTACGTCCGATCGCCGGATTTGTGGCGTCTTTTGTGAGCGGGAACGACCTAGTTCAAATTTCCCGCATCCTGGGGCTGGCGCTTGGGGGCGTGACTGGGAGCTAGGTCGCCCCTAGGGGCCGAACTAGCGCCGGCACGCCCCCAGGCCGCTCTATTTAGGCGCCCTGGGGGGTCGAACGGCTGGAGATGCCCTAAGTGTTGTGGTGCATGCAGATTTAGTGGAGTGGTTTCCCATGGTGAAAGAGGAGTGGATCAGCTTTTGCATGCAAACATTGATGGACTACTAGTGCCAAATTGAATACAAATGTGCTTAGGGGGTGGAAGATTTTGGGACAAATAGTTTTTGGGATTTTGCCTTGCGAATTGGGACGGAGGGAGTAGAACAAATGGATGTTTGCGATAATTAATCAGCGTGAATATTTAGGAACTCACTACATTGTCAGATTTGAAACCTTTTTGAACATTTATTAAAATTTTGTGAACAAATTTATAGATGCAGAATATTTTAATAAAAATGTGAACAATATTTGTAGTTGCAAACATTTTTGAAAACACAAGCAATTTTTGAAAACGTGAACAATTTTAAAAACTCAAAAAGTTTTTAAAATGCATTTTTTTGAATATTTTCTGAAACACTAACACTTTCCCAAAAACACGGACAATTTTTTTTGAATAGTTATGTCACATCTAAGTATGACATCATCCCACGTATTGTCTCTTGTTTGTTTGTCCAAAAAAATCACAATAGCAGACGAGTGTGCCTGGGCCAATCCCTCCGCACATGGACAATTGTGATTCGATA